GTCTGTGAGCTCTGCCTCTGGGTTACCTCTGGAGTGTCTCCTGTCAGATTTGTCGCCTGAGACAATGCAGCTTAATTACAACTCAATCAGCACGCTTCAAGGATTTAAGGCAAACTTCACAGGAGCTGAAGGGTTAGGGGACACTGCTGTCCCTCATGGCAGCTGAGCTGGAGCTGCTGAGACTCCCCCAGGTGCAGCACTGGGAGGCGTAGCTCAGGACAGGTTCCTTCTGCTACCATCAAGCAAAGCTCTGCAGGCATCCCTCACTGCAGCTCCTCCGGGCTCAGGGCAGCACTTGTGCTGACTGAAGCCTCGGTTCTGGGTATTCACTGCTGCAGGAATGTTTAAATTTTATAGGGAGTATTTCTCACCTCCCTCTCTTAAGCCAGGTACTGCTGCCCCTCTGACTCCTGGTGCATTTGCTCAGAAAGAACGGGCTGCATCACAGACACCTGAAGATCACCTCAAAGAGCTCCTTCTGTGCTCGGCAGTGCCTGGGATGCTCGAGCCTGGCCATAGCTTGCATTGAAGTTGCCTCACTCTTCCATTTCCAAACTCTGTGACAATGATGAATTTGTCTTGAGTGTCTTAAGGAATTAGCCAGCGCACCTTGGAGGGCAAATATATTTTTTCATTAATATCTTTCTTTATCTTAAATATATGCAAATATGCTTGAAGGTTCGCAGTATGGAGGAAAGCAGGAGAGATGTGTGCCTTTACAGCAAGGGAATCCATGGACTGAGGGGTGTGCAGTGTGATGCAGCCACGTGCCTTTGTCATCCAGCTGTTGCTGCTGTGTGTGCTGTGTGCCTGCATGTGCAGAACTCATCAAACACAGGAGACCTTTTGCTCTGAGTAAATCTGCGATGTCCTGTATTGGGATTGGGATGTGCTAACCCTCGCGTAGAATCTTCCCTTTTCTGCTAGATTACAACTTTTTAATAACAATAACAATCTTCAGCTGAAACTTTTGCTGTTCTTGCTGCTGTGAACCACGAGGTCAAATGCATTCACAGCTCCCCACCAGCAGGAAGCTCACTTCCATCTCTGCAGGGAACTCTGGCACATGGCAGTGGGGCATCAGGAGGACTGTGGAAGTGGCATCTTAAATCTGTGGCAGCATGCTTTGTGTACATGGAGATAAAGCTTGGGCTATGAGATGAAAAGCAGTAAAGCCCTGTCCTGTCTTCAGGGATACAGCTAGAAGCTAAACCCCAAACCAGCCACTTTACAGCAGACTACCTCTCTCGGATCATTTTCTTCCTGCTGCAAGAGGAGAAATGGATCATGCTGTAATCATGGGAGACTCTTAAGACCAAAATAGGAGGTGGACTCAAAACCTCTGCAAAGAAAATGTTTGTCTCCCTAATCGTTTTTCGCTTCCATAATGCTTAGTATGATAAAACTATCTTTCCCCTTTATTTTTCAATCGCAATTAGACTTTAATGTTGTTAAAGCTTGTAAGTGACTTTGAGCTACTGTCGCATTGAGGAGGAGATGGAGCTGAAATTGTCAGTGAGGCATCGGACAGGGTTTTTTAATGTGTCTGTCATTGTATGTTAACCTCTGAACCGGGACACAGCGTCTGTTTGATGGCTGACAACAATTCGGAGGTATACGCCTTGACATCGTGGATAAAGGAAGATGGGGGAGTGGGGACAAAAAAATGAATTAATGATGTTAGCAAATATTAGTCCCTGTATTTCCATTCTGTTCAGAAAGAGGTTGTCAGGCTTTGAGGCTGGCTGGAGCAGCATTGTCCATGACAGCCAGTCTAGATGCGATTGTACCTTGACTCGAGCCAAGCTTTTATTGACAAATACAGTGCCGGGAGGTATGGCTGGGGCTGCTCTGCTGTCCCCTCCAGGAGGAGCATGGCTTTTTTTCTGCAGCTCTGCTTGACACTTGAGAACGATGATTCCTTGCTGGAGCTCCCTGCCTTGCTCCAAAATGCATCGGGAGTCAGGGGAGTTGGAAATGCCTCTTAATGAGTACGGCTGCTGCATACAGAAGCTCGCATTTGCCTGTGATTTATGCTAGCTATGGTCACCCAGATCCACCTACCTAAGTTGGCTGTCAGGAGTAATAGTGACTTTGAGATCAGCTGTATGTGTACATAAGCAGCAAAAAGTCAATGGACAAGAATTAGGGATAAATTAGGAAATTCCAGTGCCTCTTAAGGCATTTTTGCCTTTCTTTACGATCTCTTCCTGGATCTCTGACGTGACACTGCTTGTGCTTTGGCACTTGTGTGCAGTCCTGTAAGATTTGTTGCTGTGCTGCTATGAGTTCCTCTACCTGCCTGTGGTTCTTGAGCTGGCACTTCAAGAGTAACCCCTTCACACATGTGGCATGTTGTAATTTTGCCTTTTCTCTAGCATCTCCTACACGGTCCTGACTGCTGGCATCTATCTCAAATCATGGGAGCAAATTATGGGAGCCCGGGATCACGTTATTCCTTAACTATCATTAGTTACATGTGTATCTGCAGTGCTTCGCACAGCGTGCCAGCAAGAAAAGAAATTGAGCTGGCTTAATTGAGAGCTGTATAGTTAATTATTAGTGCCTTTTTAAAGGAAGAGAGAGAATGTGCAATGTCAGGGTTTCATTTCACTGTGGTTTGCAAGGTAACTCACTGGTTGTCATCTGTCTTGGTATGACGTTTGCTTTGCCTCTTCAGCCCCAAGAGCCCTTTTTGTAGACTGTAGAGATGTCAAGAGATGTAAGAACTGCACCAGCCCATTGCAGATCCCTTCAGCTGGTATGAGCAGCACATAAACCACCAAACGCTTCTTCTTTGAGCTGCAGTGTGGCTTGGAACGAGCAGCAGCTCCTATCCCACTTCTTGCCTGGTTTCTTTGCTCCATCACCCTTGGATTTCGCAAGCACATCCCTGGCAGGCCGGGCAGTACGGATGTTGGCAGCAGGCAGCTGAGCTCAGGGTATAGGCAGGTTGGCAAGGCTGGCTGGAAGGAAACCAGTGTGTGCCTGCGTCAAGGCTGAGCTCCCATCGCTCCTGAGAAGGAGTGCTGTTCCAAGCCTGGGCACGTTCCCCATGGGAAGCCCAGCCACGGTGATGGATGTTGGAGCACGGTGCTGCTTTTAATGGCTTTGCAGAGCACAGGCACACGCTGAATCCTGAGAGGCTAGCTGAGACATTTGCTGTACATTTTTCATAAATTTGTTCTACGGACTGTGATGGAATAAGCTTGGTTCAACATTCATAGGTTGGGTATTGGGTTCTTTATTTCTGTATGAAGGAGAGGAGGTAAAAGCTGCTTGGACAAAGCAACCTGTATATGGATTAAGAACCAGAGAAGTTGTCATCTGAGCATTTTTGGGAAAGCCTCTACCATTAAGTTTCCCAGTGGCCTTAGGTGTACTCGATCAGTATGATTAATCTTTGGTGCAAATGCACTGGGTTGCACAAAGGAGGTGAACTTAATCCAAGAAACCTGTTTTACAATTTTTGCCTCTAGGAAGATGAAATCTATTTTCTCAAGTGTTGTTTCTGGCTTTGAAAAAAGCAACCACCCAAAACTGTGGTGGGAAGAGAGGAAAGGACGCAGATTAAAAATGTTCTTGTAGTTTCTGGAGCTGGTTGGGAGTCCATTGGCCCCCAGCATCAAAGAAGGTAGGCTAAGTGTGAGTATAGCTTCATGTCATAGAAATAGCTCTTCATTTCATAAGAATAGCTCTTCATTTCATACAAATAGCTCTCGCATGCAGTAGCAGCTGATCTGAAATTAATTCTCTTGATAAGTGGTGTGGAAATAATTGATGGACAGTAAGGTTCTCTGCTAAATAATTTTTTAAGAGGGGCACTGCACTGGGAAGACTCTAAAGCCCTTTCCCTTCAGGAGAGAACAACTTTGTGTCACCTTTTGCTCTAAATTAGAGAAAGCCAACTTGCCACAGAATGACTTTCATAGCCAATTTCCTTTTCATCTTTTCTTTTAAAGCAATGCTATCTGCAAACCCAAATATTATGGCTCTGGGCTAATACAGGAGAGCTGAAAGGTGGATCTGGTTCAAGCTGGGCAGAATGTAAATGTACTATGGGGAAAAAAATTGTTTAAAACAAAAGCAGCTTAGGGAGCCAGGAAGAAAGGCAACTTAAAGCATTCACTTTAAAAAAAAATCAACATCCTTCTATGTAGAATTGTGATGAGGCAGCACCATTTTTGGTGTAGTCAGCAATGTATTGCATCTACTGAGAGGGGGCTAGAGTTGGGCCAGCTTTCTCTGATTTTATTCATCTTGGGCATGATGATCTCTTGTTACAGAAAGCAGAACTGCCCATTGCCAAGGGCACATTGCAATTAATGGGCTATTTTGTAAGGCAGCATTGGCTGAGAATTGCAAACCAGTTTCGAGTGCTCCCCTGGAGAATGGGGTGCCGGATTCTCTAGAGCAAGCAGGGGTCCCTTTGGCCAGCACAAGAGGTTCAGGCTTTCAGACACAGGCTTTTATTCTGTTCTGCAAATCTGGCATGGAGTTAAAGTCAATTGCAGAGCCCGAAGTGCAGGATGCTTTTTGAAGGTAGGCCTGCGGCTGCGTATCGATCAATCATCTCTCTAATTGTTCATTTCTATTATGGTGGGAATCATTCAGAATCCTAGAGTTCCTGGGAGTAAATCATTTGGAAATGCTACCCATTATAAAATTTAATTTTAAATCTATATTAAATAGATTTCCAAAGGCAAGCTTTGCAATCTAGTAACATAACATTATGCCGCTGCACAGCGGTGCGGCTTTGGGTCCTTGGGGGCCATGGCAATGCTTTGGGTCCCTGTTAGCAGGATGGCTGGGCCACCAAGCACACCTCTGGGGTGAGCCCATGGCTGTGTGCACAGCAGCATCCATCTGCCTCCTCCTCCGGATGGGAAGGGTCACAGATGGGGCTTCCGGAGGGCTGAGCTCATCCATGGGACTGGGAAAGGTCTGGGAGGTGAACCTGGGAGCCAGGATGCTGGGAGCAACCTTTCTTTTTCTTTCAGACGACAGAGAAGAGGGGGAAAGAAAGCAAAACTGCGTTTGGAGGCCCTGTTGTCAGCTCGCTGTATCAAGAAGAAACAATCAGGTGATTATCTGTGCTGGACTTCAGTTGAAAACAGTATTTTTCTCATGTCATCTTGTTAAGCTTTTTTTTCTAATATCGCGCAAGTGTGGTGGCAACTACAACAGGATAATAAATGACAGGAAAGAACTTTTCAGGTCCATAATCATTTAAATCAATAACTCTCTGTATCACTGCCAGGTACTAACCTTTCCCTGGTGCGAGATGTGGGGGGAAGGGCAAGGCTTCCCATTTTTCAGTTATATGGCTAAAAAAAGGTAATATTGGCTTTTTTAATAGAAAGCTATTCAGACACCACCTTTCTCAAATAGTTATTTCTTTACCAATATGTTCATTAAGGTCTGTTCAGTGAAGGTTTTAATATTGGACAATGTTTGCCTTCGGGGAGAGCTTGCACCTTATATCAAATTAATTTTTTCTAGGTTCTGCAGCTAGCATAGCAGAAATGCATTTACTGAGCTAGAATGGCTGCTATTTAAAAACTGTCAAAGTGCAAGTACTCAGTGACATTAGCTACTGAATAAGGACAAGTGGGTTTTTTTGCTTGTTTTTTATTGTTCCACACTACTAATCACAGGAGTAGTATTCATTCCAGTATGTAAAGGATTACCTGGAGAATCTTTGAGAATGCAGCATTATTTTTAGTTCAAATGAGCAGGCTAAATGAGAGGGCTAAATGTTTGAGCAGCGTTTGCATGTTGTGTCGCAGTCCCCCATTTATGTGTTTGTGATCCCATTTGTTTTACTGCGTGTCTTGCATCATTTTAGTCTCAGGAAATTAAAAGATAAACACTGATTTCTGTGCACACCCTCTCAAGCTTGCTGTGAATTTTCCAAGCCTTCAAACTCTTAACGCAGCATTTCTTTGGCTGGTTGTCACAAATGAATGAAAAGTAAAACGTGAGCAGGTGGCTCCAGCCCCTCTGCATGGAGATCAGGTAGGAATTGGAGCAGGCAAACACAGCAGCAGCGCTGCACTCAGCTGCAGCGTGGGCACATCCCTCAGCATTGCAGCCCACTCCTGAGCAAGATGGAGCTGTTGGCCAGGAGCAGACAGGCCTGGAAAGCCATCACATCTTAACGTGCACCTGGACCTTGACCAGACAGGCAGGTGTGACCTTGCTTTAACGTACTGCTTGAGGAATAGCCCCTCTGCTAGCCGCAAGCTCCTTTTTCTTCCCTGCTCTGTCAGCGTAGGTCTCAGCCAACATCCTTGATGTCATAACTTGACCTTGTGGTCTAAATTCTATTTGAGCTGCTCATTCAGGAGTTGAGCATATTAGTGCTGCCTTGCATTGAGTGCTGAATGAGATGTTTATTCCTACAGTCCTTTCAGAGTCTTTGCTATCCCAGGTATTGCCTGAGCACCTTCTGAACATGAAACACAGCACGGTATCCAGAAAAACCAACTTTGCCTCAGCTAGGTTACTCTAAATCTTCTCTTCATATTTTTGTTACTGTATCCATAAGAACATTGCTTGTGGAGGACTTGAAGATGACCACAGCTGCAAATAATTTTTCTAGACTTACCATGCAGAGCATACTGTTTGTTTTTGTGTGGCGGTGCTCAGATAGTCGTGGACTGGTATAGCATAGCTGTAATCCTTATAAAACATGGCTGTGGATGGATGTACTCACTGAACATAGATGGTACAGTGAGATTCTGCTGAAGGTGAGTTGAATAAAATCTCTTGACTTTGTAGGAGCTTTCACGTGGTTCATTAGCACTATTTGGCCAGTAGGCATCAGTGTCTTCAACTGCAAGTTAGGAAGTGAGCAAGCATCAGCGTCGTCTCATCCACAGGCACAGCCTCACCTCTCTCAGTGCAGTTGCCCATGTACTATGGCTTTTGTCTAGTGTTTGTTCTCTTACTAGAGTAGGGGGTAAATGTCAGCAAGTATAATTGCAACCTACCATAGTTCTAAGTAGCAAAATTGCACTGGTACAAAGTTCGCAAGTAGCTGAGCCTGAGAATGGCTGTAGACATTTAATTTGGCATCCAAGTTTAACTAGAGCATGGAAGTGGTTTAGGTTGATAGTACTCAAATGATAAGGAGACTTTAATTGGGCTGGGAGTGCTTACTTACAAGAACATAAGATTCTGTAATACTTGATTGCATTTATAAGCAGTATACTGTCTTAAAAACAAACAAAAGATCCCTCTGAAGTATTTCTGTGAAGAAGAAGGAAAATTGAAGTGTTCATTTTCAGTATGTTGCTCCTAGGGATTCTGAGGGATTCCTAGGGATCCCCTGTAGATAAGAATCCAGGCTTTTGTCTTTGGTTCAAGTGTTAGCTGATGGCTCCTGAGTTGGAAATTGTGTATGGCACAATGCAGTAAAAGGATTTGTAAGTGTTGCACCAAAAGCTGGGAACTTATTTGTAGTTTGAGATTTCATGGGCTTCTACATGTAAGTAATGTGTTGTTCAGGAGGGAGTAATGAAGTTTTATTGATGGAGGGTTGTAGCATGTTCTAGAAGGCTGAGGGGTGAGAGGAGCAGAATAAGAAAAATTAACACCTTGAGCCAGCAAATATTTGCATGTTGGAAGTTACCAGTAAGTGTGAAGCTGTAGTTTCTGTGTGTGGGTGCTGCTTTGTAGCCTGAGAATTGAGGAAGGAAACTTTGCAGACCATCTCGTGGACTTGGTTGTCAGTGGTGTGCCTTACTGATGCGTTGCAGCAAGCTTGCCAAAATTGAAATATTAATCAGTCCACTTTGGTCTCTGTTTCCCTTAGCTGGTGGGATAAATATTTTCCAATTATAGAGCCATAGAAATGGAAGCCCAGAATGAGCAAAAGTCTTGTTTTGGCTACTAAAAACAAAAACTCGTGTCCTCCTCAGCCCTGGGATCTGACAGACTGCTGAAGGCAATGAATTCCGTAGCAAGCAGCGCCGTGCCAAACGCAGGCTCCCATGTGTCCTTTAGGATTCAGCTGATGCAAAGGCAGAGAAAGGCTGTCCAATTTATCTGGAGCCCAGCATCTTCACAGCCTCACCAGGCACCAGCAGATAGGCAGGAATGCAAGTGCAGAGTTTTGAAGGCTCACCTAAGCAGATTCTCTTAATTTATGCTTACCAGAAGCATCTGAACAGTTGAACAAATGATTACATAGCAGCAGCTGGCAGTAGGTTAACAGGGAGATGAGGGATCTTGTTTTAAGAGTAGTGTAAACCATGAGTTTACTGTCAGCAGTCAATTACAGTGCAGCAGCACTGCTATTGCTTTCAAAGTGAGTTTCTAGAATATACATAAATAATGCTTACATTCCTTCTGTGGAACAAAGTGCTTGGCTTTTAGGGTGCAAATGCTGGGCAAGGGGAAATTGCCATGCCATACCCTGAAGTCAGGTGGATTCGGGGTTGGGAGAGCTGGGATGGAGCCAGGGCTGAATTTGCTTTATCACTAATTATCTCAAATGTTTCCACTTTGAGAACATGATAGGAAAATGGTCAGTCTGGCTCATGTAACCACACTGCAAGGATTCCAAATAAATTCAAGAGCATCCATAGAAACAGGTTATACTGATCTAATTAAATCAATTTAGAGAGAGATTCAGTTAAATCAGTGCAATTTGCGTGTTCATAGATCAATCCTCAAATCAGAAGAAGGTCTCTTGAGCTAATGAGGCGTAGCAGTTATTTACTTTGGGGTGCTGGGCACTGGTCATCAATTAGGAGTCATTAATAAAGCCTGGCAATAAAGAGCTGAAGTACCCCCAGTGACTAATGGGGAACAGTTGCAAAATGTATTAGCATAGTGCTCTGCCTTTGTGTTTCTCTGTAAATCACTTATCTCACTTTGGGCATTAGATAAAAATAGTGTGTGCTGGTGGTGGAACTCGGAGATTTCCCTTGAAGGAGGGTTTGGAAATGATCTGTGGCTTCAGGCTGCTCAGCAGTGGTGGGTGTACTGTTGGGTTTTTTTCCTGCTGCATAAAGCTTCATGTCTGTTCTTAATGCCAGAATAAAAGCAGTGGTGGCTGAGCTCTTCCATGAACAAATAGCTATAATTACAGTTTCGCAAAGCTGGGAAATAAACAGTGGGATGAGGCTGACTGATGTGTCACCAATATAAATCTAAGACACAGACTGAGGGAGATGCCCAGGAGTGTTGCACAACTGGAAATTTAACTTCAAAGTTCTTTTTAAACATTTTTAAAGGAGAGAAGGAAAAAGAAAAAAAAAAGGCAGTTTACAAATGTTTCCAGCAAACTTGTCAGATAGCAAATGCTGCTGCCAGACATCCGCTCCCATTTCCGAGCACAGCAGAGGAGCTGCCTGCGTGTGGACTGTGCCTGCTGGTATGGAATTGAAATCCCTTGGGTGGCTCTGAGGTCCCACTGAGCTATGTGATACGCTGTCATCCCAAGGAGTGAAAGGAGCTCTTTTCTGACAAACCACCACATTTTCCTGCAGCACTCTGGAGCAGAGGGGACCTGTGTGAGTCCTAAAGCAGGGAGCCCGCTTTAGGAAGCGGGGGCCATTGAGCAGTCAGGTGGCGGCCAACACCCCCAGCACTCCTCTTCCCGTCCCCCTGGCGTTTGGAAGCCAGCCCGCTGCCGTGTAATCTATCAGAATTGTATTAATCCCACTAACGCAGCCGCCATCTGGCCCCACTGCCGGCCGGCTTGCGCGAGCCTCCGTGATGGATGGGCTCTGGAATTGATTAGTTGTTCTGCGAGACAAATGAACTGTTTTGGCAGAAAATACCAGAGGTCGCTGCGTGTGGTCAGGCACAAAGGCTGCTGAATTTTAACGAGCTGCTTCCAGCATCCACGGTGAAGGTGCTGCTTCGCTTCGCAGCCTTTTCGGGAGAGCCCAGCGCGTGGCCGGGGATGGGTTCCTTCCTTCCAGCCTGCCTCTGGGAATGCCAGCGATGGAAACAAGAGCGACGCTGGCGTTAGGTAGGAATGGATGCTCTGTCCATGGTGCTTCCACAACAACCACCACGTTTGCTCTGGGTTTATGGCTTCCCCAGGGTGGTGACCTTAGGACTGTG